AGCAAAATACCAAGGAGTTGTGGCAAAGTGTCGTACCTTGATAAAGGCACGACGCTTCTTGCCAGAACTACGACAGGTCCTTGAGACTGCATGAACCTTTGCGCTTAGACGAGGCATCAAATAGTAACTTATACGTAACTTTTTAGTAGAAGAGAGTTCTTTAAAGACAGCTCGATGAGGGATGTAATATACACGCGGATCATCAAAGAGCGTTTTCCTCGACCTCTTCTGTGAAGCCTGCGTGATATGATCCTCAATTGCCTTGACGTATTGCTGCCAAACTGCTGGGGTCTTGCTTAACCGTTGGTTTGATGAAGAAGACGACAATACGCGAGCTGCTTGTTATCCTCCAAAGGAGGGTGTGGTTTCCAGTTAAACCTGACAAAACGGACACCATCAATAAACTCCGGCTTGTCGTTAAACCCCTAGATAATGCGCTCGTCGAGTTTACCTATAAAGGGGTCGAGGTCATCGGCTACGCCAAGATAATCGAGAGGCCGCAATCGCTGTATTGCACTGTCGCCGTCCTGCTCACCGATTGCAAGTGCATCGCTGGCATTTGTGCTTTGCGATGGCCAGTCTGAAAAACCGAATTTCCGGAGGCGAATGTTCCGATGCGACTGTGGCACACAGGATCGCGCCATCAATCCATCCAATGCCTACTAGGTATTCGTTGGCATTTCGAAAGCGAAGAGCTTGCAGTTCGTATTAATCCGCAAAACCAGCTTAGTAGTAAACGTACAGCGTTGAGTGCACAGGTCTCTACCTACAACCCTCTTGGATTGCTAACCCTATTTCTAGCTCCATTCAAGGTCTTTATGCAGGGCCTTTGGAGACAGAACATGGGATGGGATACTCCATTGTAGAAGTCGCAGTTAGGCCAGTGGAGTCAGTTGTTATCTAACTCACAACACCCGCTTCCGCTTATTCCTCGCTTAGTTATGCCATCCAAGACAACGCCGACCAGTATAGAGCTATGCGTTTTTGGTGACGCATCCAAGCGTCTGTATGCGTGTTGTGCTCATTTGGTTTGCCGTTCACTTACAGCAGTCAATCGCGTCTGCTTATGGCAAAGTCTCATCTTAATCACCCTCAAATAATCTCAATTCCGCGTACAGAGCTGCTTGCAACATTTGTTTAATCAACATTCGTTTGGTGCAATACATTGTAAAGCATTTGCATTTACATTCTCAACCATCCACCTCTTCCCAGACTCACTAATCGTAATACACTGGATTCACACAGTAAAACCTTATAAGGTTTTCGTTCAAAACCGCATAGAAGCTATCCACCGCTCACTAGCGCAACTGGAGGCGCAAACCATGGCAGTCAAGATCCACTATGTCGCTTCCGAGCACAATCCCGCCGACTGTGCCACACGCGGTCTGGCAACCAGAGAAGCTAGAAACCACATTTGGTGAACCCTTTCTGCTCATTAAGATCAGTGGCCTTACGCGCACATCACCTTCCAGACTCCACCGCAAGAGTGCGAAGAAGTTCAGTCTGAGTGCGTGGATTCACATGTGGTAGTACATCAGGCGGAGTTCAGATCGGTTCTACTATTTACAGATACTGACAAGTACCTAAAACTTGTCCGCATTACAGCGCACTTGCTCAAGTTTTTACGTAAAATAATTTTCAAATGCGTGTCACAACCATTTTGTGCTATAATTCAATCTTAAATAATTAGCGTAGGCTCGTTCATGTCATCTGATGTCATGCAAGCT